GTCAGAGGAATGGGATTGATGTGATGGTTGGAGAGGATATGGGCGACAGAGGAATGGGATTGATGTGATGATTGGAGAGGATGCGATTGTCAGAGGAATGGGATTGATGTGATAATTGGAGAGGATATGGGTGTCAGAGAAATGGGATTGATGTGATGATTGGAGAGGATATGGATGACAGAGGAATGGGATTGATGTGATGGTTGGAGAGGATATGGATGACAGAGGAATGGGATTGATGTGATGATTGGAGAGGATACAATTGTCAGAGGAATGGAATTGATGTGATGATTGGAGAGGATACGATTGTCAGAGGAATGGGATTGATGTGATGATTGGAGAGGATATGGATGACAGAGGAATGGGATTGATGTGATGATTGGAGAGGATACGGGTGTCAGAGGAATGGGATTGATGTGATGATTGGAGAGGATACAGATGACAGGGGAATGGGATTGATGTGATGATTGGAGAGGATATGGGTGACAGAGGAATGGGATTGATGTGATGATTGGAGAGGATATGGGTGACAGAGGAATGGGATTGATGTGATGATTGGAGAGGATATGGGTGACAGAGGAATGGGATTGATGTGATGATTGGAGAGGATATGGATGACAGAGGAATGGGATTGATGTGATGATTGGAGAGGATACGGGTGTCAGAGGAATGGGATTGATGTGATGATTGGAGAGGATATGGATGACAGAGGTATGGGATTGATGTGATGATTGGAGAGGATGCGATTGTCAGAGGAATGGGATTGATGTGATAATTGGAGAGGATACGGGTGTCAGAGGAATGGGATTGATGTGATGATTGGAGAGGATGCGATTGTCAGAGGAATGGGATTGATGTGATGGTTGGAGAGGATACAGATGACAGGGGAATGGGATTGATGTGATGATTGGAGAGGATATGGGTGACAGGGGAATGGGATTGATGTGATGATTGGAGAGGATACGGGTATCAGAGGAATGGGATTGATGTGATGATTGGAGAGGATACGGGTGTCAGAGGAATGGGATTGATGTGATGATTGGAGAGGATATGGATGACAGAGGAATGGGATTGATGTGATGATTGGAGAGGATATGGGTGTCAGAGGAATGGGATTGATGTGATGATTGGAGAGGATACGGGTGTCAGAGGAATGGGATTGATGTGATGGTTGGAGAGGATATGGATGACAGAGGAATGGGATTGATGTGATGATTGGAGAGGATACGATTGTCAGAGGAATGGAATTGATGTGATGATTGGAGAGGATACGATTATCAGAGGAATGGAATTGATGTGATGATTGGAGAGGATACGATTGTCAGAGGAATGGAATTGATGTGATGATTGGAGAGGATACTGATGACAGAGGAATGATTGATGTGATGATTGGAGAGGATACTGATGACAGAGGAATGATTGATGTGATGATTGGAGAGGATATGGATGACAGAGGAATGGGATTGATGTGATGGTTGGAGAGGATATGGATGACAGAGGAATGGAATTGATGTGATGATTGGAGAGGATACGATTGTCAGAGGAATGGGATTGATGTGATGATTGGAGAGGATATGGATGACAGAGGAATGGGATTGATGTGATGATTGGAGAGGATACGGGTGTCAGAGGAATGGGATTGATGTGATGGTTGGAGAGGATATGGATGACAGAGGAATGGGATTGATGTGATGATTGGAGAGGATATGGATGACAGAGGAATGGGATTGATGTGATGATTGGAGAGGATACAGGTGTCAGAGGAATGGGATTGATGTGATGGTTGGAGAGGATATGGATGACAGAGGAATGGGATTGATGTGATGATTGGAGAGGATACGATTGTCAGAGGAATGGAATTGATGTGATGATTGGAGAGGATACGATTGTCAGAGGAATGGAATTGATGTGATGATTGGAGAGGATACGATTGTCAGAGGAATGGAATTGATGTGATGATTGGAGAGGATACTGATGACAGAGGAATGATTGATGTGATGATTGGAGAGGATACTGATGACAGAGGAATGATTGATGTGATGATTAATCTGTTGTTTCTTAGATGAGCACAGCAATGAATGTTATCAAACAAAAAATACTGTCTATAATTACTGATACAATGTTGATAGTCCCAAATTTGTGATTTCTTTTAACCTCACACTTTCTTACCGGTTCCATTGGTGTTTGGATTTGATAGGTTTTACTGTAGTTGCTCTCTATCTCTGATTCTACCATGACGCATGAGTTCCATCTTTGCTTTGCAAAATTGAAGTTTACAAACTATAAATCTACAACTGGTAAAGAATTATAGTCAAGTATATCAAAGTGCAACTTTAAAGCACAAAATTGGAAAAAGTCAATGAACCATCCCAACTGATAAAACAATCAGATTAAACTAGAAGCTGTGAACCTTAAAGCCAATATAGTATTAAGTGATATTTTTGAAATGATTGGGAAAGGATTTTCTCTTAAAGCTTCAAAACGTCAGAATTAACCTTAAGGCCAGGGTGCATGTTGGAATTTTTTTGCAATTTTGAAAAGTAAACCACTGAATATTCTAGTTATTCAAACATTCTGAAGGATTGTATCAACACACAATTATCAACACACAATTAATAGTCTAGGTACACTTATGCATCTTTTGTGCAAGAATGAAAGATGTAGATGATGTGTGGAATGAGTTATGTTTGTCTGAAAATAGTACATGGTCATGAAATTTCATCAAAGCGCACCCTGACCTTAATGAAGGAAACCTATTGCTCAAGTTTTAGATTTGCCTGATCCAAATAGGATGCAAGTGTACTGATGCATATTGTGGATATAATGTCTTTGATTAATGGGCAGTTATTATGGAAGCTGTATTGATTGTATACTGTAATTACCATCCTTGCAAGTGGAATAACTAACAGCTCCATCAAGTTTTCATCTTTTTACTTGCTTACAATATTTTATATTCCAGTTCATATAATTTTAATTCATTATTTTTATGTGACCACCAAAAAGTGGTGCCATATTGTTATGGTCTCCATTTTTGTGAGTGCGATCGGCGGATGGCGGTTGGCGGTTGGCATCTGTAACAATTTTTTACAACTTCCAATAACTTGACAAATCTGACTCTAGAATTAAGACTTGACCTTCAATGACCTTTCAATGTCAAAAAAGGTTAAAAAATGTATTTTTTTCAACTTGCTTCAAATTGACAACTTTTTTTCAAAATCATCTACAAGTTCTCAAAAGTTCAAATCTGAATCTAGATTTGATCTTCAATGGCATTTTCAAGATCAAAAAAGATTTGACCTTCAATGACCTTCTCAAGGTCGTAAAGGTTTTTTTTCAACTTGCTTCAAATTCACCAATATTTTTTCAAAATCTTCTACAAGTTTTCAGAAGTTCAAATCTGACTTTATAATTAAGATTTGACCTTCGATGACCTTTTCAAGTTCAAAAAGGTTAAAAACCTTTTTTCAACTGAGCCTCAAATTGACCAATATTTTTTCAAAATCATCTACAAGTTCTCAAAAGTTAAAATCGGAATGTAGATTTGACCTTCAGTGACATTTTCAAGGTCAATGACCTTCTCTTACTCACTTCGAGAGCCATGTTAAATTTTGAAACATATGGCTCTCAAACGGGGAAGTGGACAGCTGAATAAGAGTGACCTTTGAAACACGAATTAAGTCGATCAGATGCCTACTTTTGTTCTCTTACTATGTTATACATCATTATCATCCTTCCGTGCAGGTATTGGAGCGCTGGAGTACTTCCTTTTCGATCAAGACTTGTAATTGTTAGTCGAGTGAATGTTTTTACTGTCAAATTTTTCTGCTCGGACATTTCCGTGAATCTCCGGAGGTTGTCCGAACCTAAATCATTCTCAAAATTCATTTCGTTCGTTGCGTATCTCGCTCCTAGCAAACCGCCATATTGGAAATGGGTCGAAAAAACATTCACTCGATGAACAATTTACAAGTCTTGATCGAAAAAGAAGTATTTCAGCGCTCCAATACTTGCACGGATTGATGATACTGATGTAAGACACAGTTAGAGGCCAAAAGTAAGCCGCTGGAATCTTTATTCATATTTTAAAGGTCACTATTACTCAGCTGCCCAAGTGCGCCGTGGGAAAGCTATTGTATCAAAATCCACATAGCTTTTGCAGGAAGTAAACCTTCTCAAGGTCACAAAGGTCTTTTTTCAAATTGTTTCAAATTGACCAATTTTTTTCAAAATCATCTTCAAGTTTCCAGGAGTTCAAATCTGACTTTAGATTTGAGATTTCACCTTCAATGACCTTCTCAGGGTCACTCAGGGTCACCTATTTCAAATTGACCAATTTTTTCAAATCATCTACAGAGTTCTCAGAAATTCAAATCTGACTTAAGTTTGATCTAATGTGAGCAACTAGGTGGTGACATTTTGTAAGGAGCTTGTTGTGCATTTTGGGAAAATGGGAAAATAATTGATTTTCTTCAGCATCTTCCTTTCTATTGACTCTCATCTCAAATGGTTGGTTTGAGGCACTCATAGTTTGAAGTGCACACTAGCACCTCACGCACAATAATTAACTTGCTTTATAAGTCCAGGTCCATATTTCTAGATTTTAGCTAAAACACTTTTCTCATTTTTTCCATCCTTGAAATAAACCGTTGAAAAGCTTCAAAATGCTAATTTAGTTTCAAGATCTGTTTTTGCACAAACCAACAAGAGCCTATTCCCAAATTGTTGATTGAATCTGAACATGACATTTTACTTCAAAGTAGAACCTGTTTGAACCAATTTGAAGATTGATTTTCAAACACCTGGTAGGTCTAAAATTCAAATTAACGGTTGTTTTCTTGTATAGTTAGACCCCATGGACATGGCCCTCTGCCAGGATGTTTTTCTTGTCTGAGATTTTGATTTAAATTTCTTCTTCATTGGTACGATATACTTTTTACTATGATGAAATTCAATTTTGTGAGGGTTACCTCGTAAATGTAATTTGTGTCTATATTTTCCAGTGCTCATTTATTCCCCGGTTCAGTATCCATATAGAGACACGTTACCAAGACAACAGCGGAACAAGTGAAAATGTAAGTTATATCACAGATTATAAAAAGGATTGTGTTTCATATTTTGCAAAGGAGGATTGGCAGGCAGGGTTCCAACTCAATATTCTTTAATGTCCAAGTGATGCGATATTGCTGATCATGCCTGTATATTTCTACGGCTGCAGGGAAAATGAACAATATTTTCTTACAAAGCTGGCGTCATTATTGTCTGACATTTACCTAGCTATAAATTCACAATTAGCATTCAAAAGATTTGAACTTATGGTCACTAATTAAAGTCACTAATATCTTGATTACTTCTTGTGCGTTTTGAATTTTTTTTTGGTAATAAGACCAAAACTTGCAATTTAAATTTTGAAGTGAGAAATGCCAACTCCAAGACTGATGCCCACTTTGTTGGAAAATATCGAGTTTGAACCCTGGGATCCAATCCTTGATATTCTCGTTAGGACTCATTTTGGACCCAAGAAGACATTTAGACATTGAACCAACTATTTACTCAGTCTACTTGATAATATTCATGAGAGAGGTGTTCACCAGAAAGAAATGAGTTTACCAGAAAAATGTTCACCAAAGAAAATGTTGTTTTTCAGAGAGATGTACACAAAGCCATATTTCCCATTTCCCTTCAATATTTTCATTTCCATGAATGCAAGTAGAATTGAATTCCATTCAGGAAAACATGTGTACAATATATCATGTGTACAGTATATTCTGTATATAATATATCATGTGTACAATATATTCTGTATATAATATATTATGTGTACATAGAGGATATCCAATGAGTGAATATCGCCCATCTCCATGAGAGCGCTGTTTTTTTCACCTTGATTTTGAAATGTCAAAAATCTTAGGTCCGGCAACATGTTTCAAATAAATCTTGTTCCCCCATATAAAACATTTAAATTATTCAAATAAGCGCATAATGCTTGAAACTATATTCTGGCAGTTCCATCAGGCAAGGCTGTGGGATAAAATTCATTATGTGTAGAATATATTCTGTGTAATCATTATTTGAAGAAACCCGATTATAGCAAATGTATGTATTTTATGTAGGTATTTGCATGATAACTCGCCAAGCTACAGATGCCATGAAAAGACAGAAAGAGGCAATAACAGCAGTTAATATATAGCTCTGTTTGACTAATAAATCCACTTTTATCTCTGTGGCTATTACTGCTCCATTATCCTGAAATTGCTTGTCCGATACTGTCTTTTCTTAATGTTTTCTTCACAATACAATTGACTGTTGCAATTCTGTTGTTTTATAGATGAACTAAGTAGGTTTAATTCTGTTAATATCCCTTCAAATTCTCTTGAGGGTTTAGCGCATTAGTATTCCTATAAATGAATTGCGGAACCATGTGATTTCTTTGAAGCCTACATTTCACATTTTTGGACTGTTTTTATGGATTGTTTGATTACCAGTTAGTTGATTGGCAGTTCACCTCATTGAGTATAATTACTCACACATTTGTATGTTTATATTGGCAGTTCAACTCATTGAGTATAATTACTCACACATTTGTATGTTTATATTGGCAGTACACCTCATTGAGTATAATTACTCTCACATTTGTATGTTTATATTGGCAGATCACCTCATTGAGTATAATTACTCACACATTTGTATGTTTATATTGGCAGTTCACCTCATTGAGTATAATTACTCACACATTTGTATGTTTATATTGGCAGTTCACCTCATTGAGTATAATTACTCACACATTTGTATGTTTATATTGGCAGTTCAACTCATTGAGTATAATTACTCACACATTTGTATGTTTATATTGGCAGTACACCTCATTGAGTATAATTACTCACACATTTGTATGTTTATATTGGCAGTTCACCTCATTGAGTATAATTACTCACACATTTGTATGTTTATCCCTCAGTTAGTTGATTGGCAGTTCACCTCATTGAGTATAATCTCAAGATAACCAAAATGTGCCAAACATGTATTGAAAATGGAATGTGTAGATACATATTCATTTTACATTTTTTTATGATACAAATAATAATAATAAAGATATAGTACTCTGATACTTGTTTATTTCTGCGTAATAACATTGAGCGAGCCTACAACCCAAAAAAGTACAAAACATATATATTCCTTCAGGAATTGAACCTGCGACCTGCCACACTTGAGGCAACAATTCTGCCGACAGACCAACAGGTCAATTAAGATTACGGAAGCAATGAGACAGTCAAGTCGCAAGCATTTAGGAAAACTGTGAATTATTTTGTATTGCACGAAAAGTTCAATACATACACCCTTTCAAAACAAATAAACCCTTATAATCCGAAAATGTAAACACTTTGGTCAACGTAGCTAATTTAGTGGTAGGGAATTTAGAATGAATTTTTGGTGAATTAATATGACGTATTATTGTTTTTATTTAATTGTTTTGTAGCGCTTCAGTTCAGTTTTTATACAGTTGAAACGTCCTGTTTAGTAAAATAAAGGTTGTGAAAAGAAGAAAAAATATTTTTGTGGTTGAATGATATAGTTGATCTTGATGTATAAAGTCTCACCTTATTTCCCCATTTATTTCCCAATGGAGAAGCAACACTAAAACCATTTCTATGCCACTAATAGTCATTTCAAAGCATCACTAATACATGCCTTGGGAGATGTAAAAGCGCAGATGCATCATTTATTTATATTTTGATATATTTAACTTGTCAAGCGACATCAGCTATTGGGTCTACTTTACAGGGATATGAAAGATTGTCACTAAGGATTTATGTATCCTACACATTTTACCTACTGTCATATCAGTTAAAGAAGAGGAATTTGAGAAAACAATTTGTACGATTAATGATTTATTTTCACCAGTGTTCAATACAGGGATGCAGTACAGGGATGCAGTACAGGGGTGCAAAACAGGAGTGCAATACAAGAGTGCAATACAAGGGTGCAATACAAGAGCGCAATACAGGGGTGCAATACAGCAATGCAGTACACGGGTGCAATACAGGAGTGCAATACAGGGATGTGGCATATGGGTGCAATACAAGGATGCAATACAGGGGGTGCAATACAGCAGTGCAATACAGAGATGCAGTATATGGGTGCAATACAAGGATGCAATACAGGGGTGCAATACAAGAGTGCAATACTGGGATCCAATACAGGGTGTAATACAGGAATGCAGTATATGGGTGCAATACGGGAATTCAGTACAGGGTGCAATACAAGAGTGCAATACAGGGATGCAATACAAGATACAATACAGGAATGCAGTATATGGGTGCAATACGGGAATTCAGTACAGGGTGCAATACAAGAGTGCAATACAGGGATGCAATACAAGATACAATACAGGAATGCAGTACAAGGGTGTAATACAGGAGTGCAATATAGGGATGCAATACAGGGATGCAGTATATGAGTGCAATACAAGGATGCAATACAGGGGTGCAATACAAGAGTGCAATACAGGAATGCAATACAGGGGTGCAATACAAGAGCGCAATACAGGGTTGCAAAACAGGAATGTTGTACAGGGGTGCAATACAAGAGTGCAATACTGGTATGCGATACAGGGGTGCAATACAGGGATGCAGTACAGGGATGCAATACAGGGTGCAATACAGTGTGTAATACAGGGGTGCTAGTTATTGTTTCCCAAAAAAAATTGGGATTCACAATATTTTGAATATTTTTGAAGATGGAACCTGCCATATAGAGGTTCATAAATCAATAAATTTACCAACATATTACAGAATTTCTTACTTTGTTTCCATTAGCCAATCAATACATTTCCATCATGACCTCACATATGGGTTTATTCATGAAAACATGTCACAATAAATAAATAAAGAATCCAATATGTAAAGTATCAGTTTTAAACATGAAAATTGCGCAAAGTGGAATTTACAAGTGAGGGAGTATCTAATTCGTGTTTTGTGTATTGCAGTGCCTTAACTTGCCAGACACAGACCTAGCTCAGAGAGAAGTTGTACATGTAGACATAGCCTATGACCCCATTCCAGCACACAAATACAAAGAAAATGAGGTATGGTTTGAAAGTTAATGAATCAATGCATTAAATAGGACCATTATTTTAATAGACTGTAGTTCATATTCTTTATTATGTCACCACCAAAAACACCACCAACAAATACTGTTTAGACTGACTTCAAATTTTTTCAAAACCTTCTACAAGTTTTCAGAAGACTTTATATTTAAGATTTGACCTCCAGTGCCCTTTTCAAAGTTAAAAAGGTTGAAAATGTCTTTTTTCAAGTTGCTTCAAATTGACTAAATTTTTTTCAAAATCATCTACAAGTTATCAGAAGTTCAAATCTGACTTAAGATTTGACCTTCAATGACCTTCTCGAGGTAAAAAAAGGTCAAAAGGTATTTTTTAACTTCAAATTGACTTCTTACAACTTCCAGTAACTTAACAAATACTGTTTAGACTGACTTCATTTTTTTCAAAACCTTCTTCAGGTTTTCAGAAGATCAAATCTGACTTAATATTTAAGATTTGACCTTCAGTGATCTTTGCAAGGTAAAAAAAACGACCTTCTAAATGGTCAAAAGGTCTTTTTTCAACTTTCTTCAAATTAGACTGACTTTAATTCTTTTCAAAATCGTGTACACCTTTTCAGAAGTTCAAATCTGGCTTTATATTTAAGATTTGGCCTTCAGTGATCTTTTCAAGGTAAAAAAAGTCAGATAGTCTTTTTTCAACTTGCTTCAAATTCACCAATTTCTTTTCAAAATCATCTACAAGTTATCAGAAGTTCAAATCTAACATAAGATTTGACCTTCAAAGGTCAAAAGGTCTTTTTTAACTTGCTTCAAATTGACTTCTTACAACTTCCAATAACTTAACAAATACTGTTTAGACTGACTTCACTTTTTTTCAAAATTTCAAAATCTTCTACACGTTTTCAGAAGTTCAAATCTGACTTTATATTTAAGATTTGACTTTCAGTGGCCTTTCCAAGGTCAAAAAAGGTTTAAGGTCTTTTTTTCAACTTGCTTCAAAAGTTCTCAGAAGTTCACATCTCATAATATTGTGAGCAACTAGGTGGTGACATTTTGTCATGTTAATGCCTTGTTTTCACTGTTGTATACCTCTGCATATCATCCATTCAAAGTTATTGCCATATGATACCAATGAGCAAATGGGTTAAGCACTACAAGTGCCAATGAGCAAATGGGTTAAGCACTACAAGTGCCAATGAGCAAATGGGTGTAGCACTACAATTGTCAATGAGCAAATGGGTGTAGCACTATAATTGGCAATGAGCAAATGGTTGAAGCACTAAAATTGGCAATTAGCAAATGGGTGTAGCACTACAATTTCCACTGAGCAAATGGGTGTAGCACTACAATTGCCAATGAGCAAATAGGTGTAGCACTACAATTGCCAATGAGCAAATGGGTGTAGCACTAAAATTGCCAATGAGGAAATGGGTGAATCACTACAATTGCCAATGAGCAAATTTGTGAAGCACTATAATTGCCAATGAGCAAGGTGTAGCACTACAATTGCCTCTTGTAAATTTGTGGATGGATGCTAACTAACTAGGTTTCTGGAATGCTATTTGAAAATTGTCAAATGTTAATGTACAATATTTATCTATATAATAACTTGAACCTCTTTTCTTAAAATTATATTTGATTTTGATTTTAGGATCCAACAAAATTCCAGTCAGAAAAAACCCAAAGAGGACCACTAGAGAAGGGATGGCGGGTGAGTTAAATAGCAATATATTACATTATGACAATAAATTGTACATTTTTCAAGTGTTCTATAAGCCTACTTAAGAGCTATAGACCATTACTCACATTTAACGATTCCTTCAACATTTAGCTCTATACCAAAGCAAAACATGGCCAAAATATCAGGTTTCATGACTAAGGTTGAAAACAGGTTGCCACAATTTAACATATTGGCATTTAGTCCATTGCCCAATGGGCAACCAGGTTTGTCCAAGTCCAAAGCCCTTGGCAATAAGGCATCTGTGACTTTTGTACCTTGTTCAAAAATAGAGCCATAGTTTGAGAGAATTGCTTTCTTCCTCTAAGCTTCACACTACGATGCAATTTAACATTGGTAATACATGTACCAAATGTTATTTCCAGGAGACTAGTTCCCCTGTTATGTGTTCTTATAAGAATGTCAGGGTGAAATGTGATATTTGGTTGCTACAGTCTAAGGTAGAGAGTTTTACACATAAGGTAAGTGGCAAGATTCATTCATTTTGTTAGTACCTCAGTTGAAATAAATATGATAAGCTATGATTTTCTCGGGCTATCATCTTTATCCACTCTTGGATATCACTGATCTCCACTCATTCGCTGTCTTTATCATGCACTTAGTGTACTAAATGTATAATAACATTAAAAAATATATTTGATATCCATTGGTAAAATGAATAACTGGAGGATATCGCCACAATATACTCTAGAAAACCAATATGTGGAGGATATTGTGACGATATACTCTGCTTTTTGATTTATACATTTTTTGTATATTAAGTCCACTAAGTGTAGGATTATAACATCCTCTGTGATATTCAATTCAATTCAATTTATTAAATTAAAATCAATCATACAATGTTTCATACAATACATGAAAAAGACACCCCACAGGCGTATTCATTTCATGACTAATTATTAGATTTTCAACAATCATGTTTTACATATAAACCAGAAGCAATTTGAATTTAATTGAAAAAAAAGAACAGATGGAAGCACAGAGTATCACTGGTATTGATTAATAAGATCACGTTTGATCATTTTTTCGAACTGTTTTATATGGTTTGCCTTTTTAAAATCTGTTGACAAAGAATTATAAAGTGTCGCTTCACTGACCGCAATTGATTTACGACCAGTTTCAGTTCTAAATCTATTTATTACCAAATTATATTTATTTCTCGTATCATGGGAATGTATGTCAATTCTCTCTTGAAAAAAATGCTTGAAATTACGAGATGGAAAATCTTTTGATTCAGTCACAGTTTTCTGCACAAATGTAGCAATCTGAAATTTATTTATGTCAAATATATTTAATATTTTGAACTTTCTGAAGAGAGGATTCGAAGGAGCAGTTCTTGGAGAGTCTGTCATTATTCTAAGGAATTTCTTTTGTAAAATAAAAAGTCTGTTCAAATGATTTTTCGCTGCATTGCCCCACAGAATATTCCCATAACTAAGATAGGAATAAACTAAAGAATAGTAAGTAGTTAACAAGGCATTCAATGTCAATTTGTGCCAAGTTTTATATATTAATCCAATTAAATTTGAAATTTTGGTGCAGAGTATATTTATATGAGGAGCCTATGTTAGCTTAGAGTCAATAATTACACCAAGAAAATTAATATGATTTACCCTTTCTATTAGTTGATTATTTAATTTTATTTCAAAGTTGTCTTTTTTTGTCAAAAATTATAAATTTAGTTTTTCTACATTGAGTGTTTATCTATTGGAAATCATCCAGTCATGAACCTTTTTTAATTCTTCATTTATGTCTTTCTTCAGATTATCAATGTTGTCATCAGTCAACAGAATATTTGTATCATCTGCATAGAGAACAAATTTGAGTTTATCTGATGTTAAATAAATATCATTTATAAAGATAATAAATAAGAGGGGACCTAAATCAGAACCTTGTGGTATCCCATATACAATAATAGAAGTAGATGATTGATATTTCATATCTGTTATAGTACTTGAGTCAATTTCAAAATCATGTATGGTATATTCAGTAATAATTTTCTTATTTTCAAGATAACTTTCAAACCAAGATATAATAGTGTTGTTCCTCTAATTTCATAAAATTCAAGCTTTTTTAATAGGATATTGTGATCAATGGTGTCGAAAGCTTTAGTAAGATCAATATATATTCCAACGCTCGTTTCCCCTTTATCTAAGCCTGATCGTATATTTTCAGTAAAATTTAAAAGTGCCATATAAGCGGAGTGTTTTTATCGTACCTAACAAAAGGCTTGGCGGGCGGGCGGGCGGGCGGGCGGGCGGGCGGGCGGGTGGGCGGCGGGCGGCGTCTCACTTTTCAGCTTGTCTACAGGTTTCCAGCCAAACCATTTGAGGGATTCATCTGAAATTTTCAGGGATGTTTCTACATATCAACGTCAAGAACTGATTAGTTTTTGGGCATTCTGGGTAAATCTTAAGGTGGCCATTTTGGATTTTCCGTCCTAAAATCTTCACTTTCAAGACTTGTCTACAGGTTTCCAGCCAAACCATTTGAGGGATTCATCTGAAATTTTCAGGGATGTTTCTACATATCAACGTCAAGAACTGATTAGTTTTTTGGCATTCTGGGTAAATCTTAAGGTGGCCATTTTTTATTTTCCGTCCTAAAATCTTCACTTTCAAGACTTGTCTACAGGTTTCCAGCCAAAACATTTGAGGGATTCATCTGAAATTTTCAGGGATGTTTTTACATATCAACGTCAAGAACTGATTAGTTTTTGGGCATTCTGGGTAAATCTTAAGGTGGCCATTTTGGATTTTCCGTCCTAAAATCTTCACTTTCAAGACTTGTCTACAGGTTTCCAGCCAAACCATTTGAGGGATTCATCTGAAATTTTCAGGGATGTTTCTACATATCAACGTCAAGAACTGATTAGTTTTGGGCATTCTGGGTAAATTTTAAGGTGGCCATTTTGGATTTTCCGTCCTAAAATCTTCACTTTCAAGACTTGTCTACAGGTTTTCAGCCAAACCATTTGAGGGATTCATCTGAAATTTTCAGGGATTTTCTACATATCAACGTCAAGAACTGATTAGTTTTTGGGCATTCTGGGTAAATCTTAAGGTGGCCATTTTGGATTCTCCGTCCTAAAATCTTCACTTTCAAGACTTGTCTACAGGTTTCCAGCCAAACCATTTGAGGGATTCATCTGAAATTTTCAGGGATGTTTCTACATATCAACGTCAAGAACTGATTAGTTTTTGGGCATTCCTGGTAAATTTAAAGGTGGCCATTTTGGATTCTCCGTCCTAAAATCTTCACTTTCAAGACTTGTCTACAGGTTTTCAGCCAAACCATTTGAGGGATTCATCTGAAATTTTCAGGGATGTTTCTACATATCAACGTCAAGAACTGATTAGTTTTTGGGCATTCTGGGTAAATTTTAAGGTGGCCATTTTGGATTTTCCGTCCTAAAATCTTTACTTTCAAGACTTGTCTACAGGTTTCAAGCCAAACCATTTGAGGGATTCATCTGAAATTTTCAGGGATGTTTCTACATATCAACATCAAGAACTGATTGGTTTTTGGGCATTCTGGGTAAATTTTAAGGTGGCCATTTTGGATTTTCTGTCCTAAAATCTTCACTTTCAAGACTTGTCTACAGGTTTCCAGCCAAACCGTTCAAATTTTTACATATGTTACACAGTGATAAGTTCTAGAGCTGATTAACTTTTCTGCGGCCATCCTGCTTTCTTGGTCAACAAGACCACAATGCTGTGTTTTAGGTACGATATTGTTCACGTCTGTGCCTTGTTTCCTGAAGCCATATTGCTGTAAATAAAGTATTTCATATTTTTCTAAGAAGATCATAACCGTGTCATACATAAGTTTTTTTAACAATTTTGCAAAAACGCTCAAAAAAGAAATACAGGTCGATAATTACTAATTAGTGAATTTGTCTTTAAGTCCCTTTTTGAATATTGCAATAACTTGTGCTATTTTAAGGGCATATTGATATCTGCATTTGTTCACTTCGCTCTATCGTGCAGATATCGATATCACCTCAAAGATAAAAATGATATTCCTCAAAATCATAGGATATCCTATAAATATTGTTCAGACCAAGAAAACAGTAATCTTTTTTTGACAAATGACAACTCCCATTCATTTGAACAAATGCTCATTCTTTTGCCTCGTTTTGGAGAAATTGCCTTTTTTCCATGTCTTGTCTAATGAATGGTGTCAGTTTAATTGTTATATATTGTATATTTCTCTTGTAGGCAGTACAGGACATACTCTTGCTGGGGCACAGACAAGCATTTGCCTGGATAGATGAGTGGCATGGTAATTCTTTTTATTCATGGAGTTTATTTTGATTTAACATATAAACGCTTGGAGCAGCTTTACTAGAGCATTATTAGCCACTTGCCTTGGCATGTACATAATAATTAGTCATTAACTTGTTGACCTTTGCTGATCTTTCATTACAATCCTCTAAATGCATAGGACCAAACACCATCCGCTCTATTACAATCCTCTAAATGCATAGGACCAAACACCATCCGCTCTATTACAATCCTCTAAATGCATAGGACCAAACACCATCCGCTCTATTTCAATCCTCTAAATGTGTAGGACCGAACACCATCCACTCTATTACAATCCTCTAAATGTATAGGACCAGACACATCCACTCTATTACAATCCTCTAAATGCATAGGAACAAACACCATCCACTCTATTACAATCCTCTAAATTCATAGGACCAAACACCATCCGCTCTATTACAATCCTCTAAATGTGTAGGACCAAACACCATACAATCTATTACAATCCTCTAAATGCATAGGAACAAACACCATCCACTCTATTACAATCCTCTAAATGTGTAGGACCAAACACCATACAATCTATTACAATCCTCTAAATGCATAGGAACAAACACCATCCACTCTATTACAATCCTCTAAATGTGTAGGAACAAACACCATCCACTCTATTACAATCCTCTAAATGTATGGGACCAAACACCATGCGCTCTATTACAATCCTCTAAATGCATAGGACCAAACACCATCCACTCTATTACAATCCTCTAAATGTGTAGGACCAAACACCATCCGCTCTATTACAATCCTCTAAATGCATAGGACCAGACACCATCCACTCTATTACAATCCTCTAAATGTATAGGACCAAACACCATCCACTATATTACAATCCTCTAAATGCATAGGACCAAACACCATCCGCTCTATTACAATCCTCTAAATGCATAGGACCAAACACCATCCACTATATTACAATCCTCTAAATGCATAGGACCAAACACCATCCACTCTATTACAATCCTCTAAATGTATAGGACCAGACACATCCACTCTATTACAATCCTCTAAATGTGTAGGACCAAACACCATCCACTCTATTACAATCCTCTAAATGCATAGGACCAAACACCATCCGCTCTATTACAATCCTCTAAATGCATAGGACCAAACACCATCCACTATATTACAATCCTCTAAATGCATAGGACCAAACACCATCCGCTCTATTACAATCCTCTAAATGCATATGACCAAACACCATCCACTATATTACAATCCTCTAAATGCATAGGAACAAACACCATCCGCTCTATTACAATCCTCTAAATGCATAGGACCAAACACCATCCGCTCTATATCAATCCTCTAAATGTATAGGACCAGACACCATCCACTCTATTACAATCCTCTAAATGCATAGGAACAAACACCATCCACTCTATTACAATCCTCTAAATTCTTAGGACCAAACACCATCCGCTCTATTACAATCCTCTAAATGTGTAGGACCAAACACCATACAATCTATTACAATCCTCTAAATGCATAGGAACAAACACCATCCACTCTATTACAATCCTCTAAATGTGTAGGACCTAACACCATCCGGTCTATTACAATCCTCTAAATGCATAGGACCAGACACCATCCGCTTTATATCAATCCTCTAAATGCATAGGACCAAACACCATCCACTCTATTACAATCCTCTAAATGTGTAGGACCAAACACCATCCGCTCTATTACAATCCTCTAAATGTGTAGGACCAAACACCATCCAGTCTATTACAATCCTCTAAATGTGTAGGACCAAACACCATGCACTCTATTACAATCCTCTAAATGCATAGGACCAAACACCATCCACTCTATTACAATCCTCTAAATGTGTAGGACCAAACACCATCCGCTCTATTACAATCCTCTAAATGCATAGGACCAGACACCATCCACTCTATTACAATCCTCTAAATGTATAGGACCAAACACCATCCACTATATTACAATCCTCTAAATGCATAGGACCAAACACCATCCGCTCTATTACAATCCTCTAAATGCATAGGACCAAACACCAACCACTATATTACAATCCTCTAAATGCATAGGACCAAACACCATCCACTATATTACAATCCTCTAAATGCATAGGAACAAACACCATCCGCTCTATTACAATCCTCTAAATGCATAGGACCAAACACCATCCGCTCTATATCAATCCTCTAAATGTGTAGGACCGAACACCATCCACTCTATTACAATCCTCTAAATGTATAGGACCAGACACCATCCACTCTATTACAATCCTCTAAATGCATAGGAACAAACACCATCCACTCTATTACAATCCTCTAAATTCATAGGACCAAACACCATCCGCTCTATTACAATCCTCTAAATGTGTAGGACCAAACACCATACAATCTATTACAATCCTCTAAATGCATAGGAACAGACACCATCCACTCTATTACAATCCTCTAAATGTGTAGGACCAAACACCATCCGGTCTATTACAATCCTCTAAATGCATAGGACCAGACACCATCCGCGTTATATCAATCCTCTAAATGCATAGGACCAAACACCATCCACTCTATTACAATCCTCTAAATGTGTAGGACCAAACACCATCCGCTCTATTACAATCCTCTAAATGCATAGGACCAGACACCATCCACTCTATTACAATCCTCTAAATGTATAGGACCAAACACCATCCACTATATTACAATCCTCTAAATGCATAGGACCAAACACCATCCACTCTATTACAATCCTCTAAATGCATAGGACCAAACACCATCCGCTCTATTACAATCCTCTAAATGCATAGGACCAAACACCATCCACTATATTACAATCCTCTAAATGTATAGGACCAAACACCATCCGCTCTATTACAATCCTCTAAATGCATAGGACCAGACACCATACAATCTATTACAATCCTCTAAATGCATAGGAACAAACACCATCCACTCTATTACAATCCTCTAAATGTGTTGGACCAAACACCATCCATTCTATTATAATCCTCTAAATGCATAGGACCAAACACCATCCGCTCTATTACAATCCTCTAAATGTGTAGGACCAAACACCATGCACTATATTTCAATCCTCTAAATGTTTTGGACCAAACACAATCCACTCTATTACAATCCTCTAAATGTGTAGGACCATACACCATCCGCTCTATTACAATCCTCTAAATGCATAGGAACAAACACCATCCACTCTATTACAATCCTCTAAATGTGTTGGACCAAACACCATCCACTCTATTACAATCCTCTAAATGCATAGGACCAAACACCATCCGCTCTATTACAATCCTTTAAATGTGTAGGACCAAACACCATCCACTCTATTACAATCCTCTAAATGCATAGGACCAGACACCATCCACTCTATTACAATCCTCTAAATGCATGGACCAAACACCATCTGCTCTATTACAATCCTCTAAATGTGAAGGACCAAACACCATGCGCTCTATTACAATCCTCTAAATGCATAGGACCAGACACCATCCACTCTATTACTGTAACAATCCTCTAAATGCAGAGGACCAAACACCATCCGCTCTATTACAATCCTCTAAATGCATAGGACCAAACACCAACCACTATATTACAATCCTCTAAATGTGTAGGACCTAACACCATCCACTCTAGTACAATCCTCTAAATGCGTAGGACCAAACACCATCCACTATATTACAATCCTCTAAATGCATAGGACCAAACACCATCCGCTCTATTACAATCCTCTAAATACATAGGACCAAATACCATCCACTCTATTACAATCCTCTAAATGCATAGGACCAAACACCATCCTCTCTATTACAATCCTCTAAATGTGTAGGACCAAACACCATACAATCTATTACAATCCTCTAAATGCATAGGAACAAACACCATCCACTCTATTACAATCCTCTAAATGTGTAGGACCAAACACCATCCACTCTAATACAATCCTCTAAATGCATAGGACCAAACACAATCCACTCTATTACAATCCTCTAAATGCATAGGACCAAACACCATCCACTCTATTACAATCCTCTAAATACATAGGACCAAACACCATCCACTATATTACAATCCTCTAAATGCATAGGACCAAACACCATCCACTCTATTACAATCCTCTAAATGTGTAGGACCAAACACCATCCGCTCTATTACAATCCTCTAAATGCATAGGACCAGACACCATCCACTCTATTACAATCCTCTAAATGTATAGGACCAAACACCATCCACTCTATTACAATCCTCTAAATACATAGGACCAAACACCATCCACTATATTACAATCCTCTAAATGCATAGGACCAAATACCATCCACTCTATTACAATCCTCTAAATGTGTAGGACCAAACACCATACAATCTTTTACAATCCTCTAAATGCATAGGAACAAACACCATCCACTATGTTACAATCCTCTAAATGTGTAGGACCAAACACCATCTGCTCTATTACAATCCTCTAAATGTGTAGGACCAAACACCATATAATCTATTACAATCCTCTAAATGCATAGGACCAAACACCATCCGCTCTATTACAATCCTCTAAATGCATAGGACCAAACACCATCCACTCAATTACAATCCTCTAAATGCATAGGACCAAACACCATCCACTCTATTACGTGTATGACCAAACACCATCCGCTCTATTACAATCCTCTAAATGCATAGGACCAGACACCATCCACTCTATTACAATCCTCTAAATGCATAGGACCAGACACCATCCACTCTATTACAATCCTCTAAATGCATAGGACCAAACAACATCCGCTCTATTACAATCCTCTAAATGTGTAGGACCAAACACCATACAATCTATTACAATCCTCTAAATGCATAGGAACATCACCATCCACTCTATTACAATCCTCTAAATGTATAGGACCACACACCATCCACTCTATTACAATCCTCTAAATGCATAGGACCAAATACCATCCACTCTATTACAATCCTC